CAGACACGTTAGCCAGAGAATATGATTTCCATGTCAGGAAGAGCTCAGCTGTAGCTGGGCACAGACACGTGGCAAGATGAAGGAAAACATTAAGCCTCATTCAAAATGAAGAAGCACTGGCGTCTGTGTTCTTAGCGAAAGATGTTGACTATCTTCAGAAGACTTTCTCCCAACAGGAAGCTAGCCCAAGGGACTCGGGAGTGTTGCGAGTGAAACTTCTCACACGGCTGAAGTTATCTGCATAAATCTCCGACAGAAAATCGGCCTTGTCTTGAATCTCAGAATTCCCGAAAATCCCACGGCGCCATGCGGCGCTGGCCGTGGATGACCCTGGCGCTGGGCAGGAAGAGGGTTAAGGAGCTGGGGGCCGCCTTTCCTTTCTGTGCGAATAAAAAGACATCCCGAGGAGGACAGACACAGAGCAGAGCACGGCTCATGAAAGGCTGTTAAGATCAAGAGCGTTACGTATAAAAAAAAAAAAAAAACTTTGGAATTTACACTTCCACTTGGGACTGGCGGATTTTTTTTTTCCCCCCAAGACTCTGCCTCACAGCCACAGCTCCCACGGCACCCAGAGAGAATGAAGACCCGCAGAAACCACTCCTCTGCAGGGCCATTCAGCTGCTAGTCTGCCACAAGCTCCAATGTCTTAGGGGAGACGGAGCAACAGGGCGTCTCTCGCCAACGCCACCGCGAGCCCACGGGCCTCCAGAGGTCAAGAGGACCCTGGCTCACCTAACCTGGCAACACTCAGCTCAGCTGGCCTGAGACAACGAGCAATAAAACTACAGAGCAAGACGCGTAAGGAATATGGTTTTTCCACAAATTCTAGCTAATGCATTTGGCAACCACTCATCAATTTAAAAAGCTTGAAAAGGCGTCATTTTTCTGTGGAGTAATCATTTACTTTCGAGCCTCTTAATGACATCTTCTACCAGCGATGCTTACAGAGCCACCGTGAGCCCACTGCCTATTTGATATAAGAAAAGTAAATGCGCATGTACTGTACAATAGGGTACAAAAAGCACGTATGAAAATATGGCATGTTCTACTGAAAGGTGGGCAAGATTTCGGCAGCACAGAGCAGATTCTTTGCAACGTTAAAACATTATGCGGCACATTTAATAAAAGCATGTTCTTTTGTGTTCGATCCGAGTGTGCAGTCATTTATGACTTTAAAATTATAAATGCAATCTATGAACAATAAGACTTTTTAAAGGTCATATGGGTTTAGTTGCATTCCCTTAATACGGTTACAATTCAGCAACAGTTTTTCAAAGGCAAGAAGACTTCTTCCTTATTTACCATTTCCAGGGGTGTAGCTCAAAATGTCCATCAATCTACCATTCCTGCTCCATTTTCCTCACTATTCAACACTTGTATCTCTCTAAGTTGATAGTATATTGTTTTATGCAGGAATGCACTTTCTGCTCCGTTGGTTTGCTCTGACTAGCTCAAACTGACCTTCAGCCTACTGTTTCTCCCCGTTTTGTTAAAAGTACTCAATATTGCAGATCACCGTACACTGCAGAACCTTTGTATCATCTGTTTTGCAGAATCCCTCTCTCATTTGCTGGCGGTTGATCATTTCAGTGCACTGGCATGCTACAAAATTAATTGGACCAAGTATGCATTGAGCCACTGAATTCTGCAATGGAGAAGACCAGTCTTACTCTCCTGTGTAGCGAGTCAAACATTTCAGATACTCTACCTTGGTTTTGAGATTTACACCTCTCTGCATGCCTCCCTCAGTAAGCAACTTTAATAACATTTTTACACAGATTAAACAGACTTGAAACAGAGGGATGTATTTTCCAGTTTCTCTCCTAGTTTGAATCTATCATAATGTGCTGCCCTGCTTTATTTTTTAAATTCTGAGACTCCTGTTTCTTTTCACTTAGGTTACTGAGCTTGCTTGCATGTTTATGTTTCTCTATTCATGCTGAATAGTGTGAAAGATCTGTGGTGGGTCCAGCCCTGGCCAACTTTACATTTCATCAGTCCTCTTTTATTTAGGTGTCCCTGCCTGGCATAATCTTGATACATCCACTTGATTTACTGATTTTTTTTCTAGTGTGCATTCTTGTACAACAATT